ATTTCTTCTTACTGCAGTAAGAAAACACTTCATCCACCACAAAGTTTTTAAGGATGCATTTCAAATTGATTTGCTGATCCTATCACCTTTGATTATTTGTATATCACAAAACTAATTTGTTGATTGGGATTATGGAGACATTTTATTTTTATAACACTCCCTAATCTCATGAGCATCAATGAGACTAGTGAGTGTCGTGGCATAATACCTTTCCACCACACTTCACTTTTTCCTGACTGCAGCCTGCATAGATCAGTGCTTTGGGCTTGGGGGATCGATCCAAACACTGATAGTATCAATATCAGCGTTTATATCGGCATTGGATCTATGATAGTGTTAAAATCAGATCACTTTTATTGTCACATCGCATGTGCAGGTACACTGGTACATTACATGTGAGTGAAATTGTTGTGTGCGAGCTTCACAAGCAACAGAGGTGTGCAAAAATACAATAACATAAGAACAAGCAAAATATAAGAATGGCTAAATCTGAGAATTATATGAATAAATATATGTACGATATAAGAGTGTATGCATATTACTGAATGTGTATACTAAATATGTATATCTACGTGTGTGTGTGTGTGTGTGTATACATATTTTACAAATTAAATAGGGTAAACAATAAAATAAAATATACAGAGGTTAGTAGTTTGATATTGATATTATTACAGGATCAATGCTGGACTTTGCATCTCTGTTTAAGTTCAATACTTTGCTCTTGGTCATCAGAAAGGAAGCATGTAAACACCGCTCCTCTCATGCTGACACACTTTGCTCCGCCCCTTCTCAACCACTGAGCCAGCCCTGCTAGATACATGGCCCACTGAGTCACGTGACTGTGGAACTACTAAACGGCACAGGAGGAATGAGGAGCAAAGTGTTCCTGCAGGAGAGGAGCGGTGTTTGCACAGACCTGTCTCCTCTCTGATACGGGAGCAACTTTGTGGACTTAGGTGATCGATCCCAGCGTTGTTAAGGTTACTGCTGATATTTGAATCGATCCACCCACTGATCATTTCCTTGCGACGACTCTTTGTGAATGAGGGAACAGTAAAAAATAAGCATCTGGTGCTTGTGCGTGTCGTCATACTGCAAGCACAACACACTTCATGCATCACAAACTTTCATTATTACTGTAAAAAAAATCCCATTGCTCGCGCTTTTTAAAAACTTTTTTTGGGGGTTTGTTGTTGTTGTTTTACAATTCAGTTGCATTAATATAGATAGCCTGCTATTTGTGTGCAATGTATTAATTTATGTTTTCTTGCAGTTTGTATCTAGTGGCTTCTCAGAATATGCATATATTATCAATGTATACATAGATAATATATGAGTCTGATAGTTTTGAAAGCAGAAACAAAGAGATGGTGACTACCTGCTTTTTTACTCCCGTGGTACCTCCTCTTTTGCCGTGCACGGCTTGTCAGTGTCCCCGGAAACAGCAGCGGGTTGAGCCCTCCTCTTCCTGCCTGCTCTCCGCTCACTGCTTTAGGAAACGTGGCCTTATCAGGACTCCAGCAGCACAGCGGTAGATGAATGACAGACTCCCCGCTTCAGCTTCCACTTCTATCCGCCTGTCAGTTAACGCCACAGCCTCAACAGACCCCGAAGCCTCTCTCTGTGTGAAGAACAATGTCTGAGGCTGAACAAATCCCGGCCTCTGCTTCGGAGGCCGCCGCATCGGCCGTCCTGGACGCCCTGAACGCCACGGACTCCAACGGGACCGAGGCGCTCAACGCCACGGCCAAATTTGTGGCCACCCCGGAGGGCACGGCTCTGGCGTACGGCAGCCTGGTCTTCATGGCGCTCCTGCCCATCTTCTTCGGAGCCCTGCGGTCCGTCACCTGCTCAAAATCCAAGGTAACTGTCAGTGGACCCCGGCGTTTAGGTTTGACTTCAGCCCGCCTGTCGTTAGCCTTCAGCGGCTAGCTGCTACAGCTAGCGGCTGGCTAACTAGCGGCTCACCAGGACGCTAAAAATAATATTTTTCCAAAGCAAATACAGAAGTGGGGTCGCGATAGAATTAATTGAAGAATGATGTGCTGAAATTATCGATAAAGTTGTGAAATACGCGTCCAGACTCCGAGTGAAGGTTTAAAGATCCAGCTGTTTGATTTTACCGGTTATTTCCAGATGCTAATTAGGCTTTTAAAGTCCTTATCTGCACTTGTTGCACTCATAACGCTGCGTGGTGGGTGTCGGGTCCTTTGGTGTGTGTCTGTTTAAACTATTTTTTTTTCTCAACTTGTGCTTGTTTGGCGTGTGATGGAAAGGATGTGTGCCCAGATGTTTATTTACATTTCTCCTAACGGACTTTTACCTGGCTGAGTAACAGGGACCGCTGCCATCCGGGAGGGGAGTAGTAACTTAAAGTTGTAGTAAAAGATGTACAGTGAGCCGAAAACAGACTGTGCTGAACGGAGTCGTGACATGAATACGAGGTTAAACCGACTGTCAGAAAACGCCAAGCTAGCCTCGTGGTCGTGAACGCATCACCAGGTGATGGAGAGAGACGTGTACTGTTTCTGTTTGTTCTCGTTTTGGGGTTTTTTGCAGACATGCGCAGTTAGCTTAAAGTAGAAAAAAACCTCCCACATCCTTCGAACAGCCGGGTGGAGGTGATGGAGGTTTTTATTAGTGACGCTGAGGACGCAACACAGCTGGCAGATCACGTTAATCTGCATAAACGGAAGCTGCTAATAACAGCTGTGAAATGAAACCGGCTGCTGTTTCAGGTATCACCAGCAGAGACAGACACCCTGCTCTAACGGTGCTCTGCCTTTATGGGCGCACTGTCTGGGGATTCATGTTAAAACTACCTGTCAGGTGTAGGATCAGGTGAAACGGGGAAAATTCCCCATGCTCTGATGCACGAAGTTTGGCTTTAAGAGGGAAACGTCGGGGCATGAAACGGAGTAATGTCTAGACTGAATTCTCAGAGTGGGTGATATCTGTGTGACTGTCCAAGTGAAGGAGCAATATCAGTTTGACCCAGAACCTGATCTGAACCTGAAACTTTAAGACTAGATTAAACTTTGTTGGCTACTATACATATTTAAATTTTCAGATTTACACATGACAGTGAGACAGAAGAGAATGACTTTAGATGTTGTTTTCTTCTGTTTATATACAGAAAGCATAAAAACGGATTTCCGAGCACAGAGAAATATTCATTTCCCCTCAAGATGTTTTAATCGGCTAAAGACAAAACAGAAACTAGATGGATTCTTGTCACGTTAGGGACAAATGTACCTTTCCCCTGATTACAGCACAAGACTAAAACCACTTTTGATGAATTTCGGTTTGACATGAGCTGCTCAGTTATTGTAATGCCAGAAAGCTTCACCCGTCTCAGAAATGACTTCAGCCTGAACGCTTCACGCTGCTCTCTGTCATGTTTCTCATTTTCTGTCGCTCGTTTCTTTGGTTTTTGACGTTTGCCTTCACTGATGGTTATAGTTAACGTAGACTCTGTTTTATCTCACCGAGTCACAGCGGATCCTGTCACTCGCATGTAAGGCATCCACAAACCGAGGCGGACGTGTCACGCAGGAGGAATTGCAAAATTAATTGAAATGAGACGTAAACAGCAGTAACTAGGCAGAAATCATAACCACGGGTGTTCCTTTGGTCTCTTTAATATCAGCGGCTGCTTAACACATTTGCAAAAACAGGAAGCAAATGAAATCTCGCGAGGAAGGAGAGAATCGGCTCAGTGGCCTGAGGCAGGCGTTTCACAAAACAGGATCGTACTCGGTGGAAATGAGATGGATCGAGATCAGAATGGAAATAATTTTACGAAAGGACGCAGTTTCTGTCTTTTCTTACATGAAACTATTACACAACTGATTTACAAGACAAGTATAAGAGTGTCAAGTTTTATTGTCACGTACAGAGAAACAGTGTAGCCACGTTTACCCATAATGACATTCTTTGGCTCGTGCTCCTCAGCTTTACACGAGCATATAGAAAGTGTGCAGTTATATTAAGAAGAAAATAGCAGGAGTGATAATGATAAAGAGAGAAAAGTATTAAATATTTAGAGATAAAATATATGTTTAAGTTAGTAAAATACATTTATCATTACAAAGTTGAAATGATAATTTGACATGAAATTTCAAAACTAAATGTTTAATTTTATGTTCAGTTTGGAAATTTAAAGAACAAAGTAACCATTAAAACATGAGCTGGTTAGTAGATGCTGAAAACAGCAGGCAGTCTTCTTTCGGGGGACTATTTTTAGTTGTGGATTAATTTTCCAGTGGGTCATTTTGACCCCAACCCTACATTTATTTTTGTCATCAACAATTTTTATTTATTTCATTTTAAACTTCAATAACAGAACTTAAGGATAACTACATAAATAAATAGTTTAAAAAACAAACAAACAAAAATAACAACAACAACAAAACAAAAAACAAAAAAACAAAACAAAAAAACCCAAAAAAAACCCAAAACAAAGGAAAGTTATCCTATTCTTTCTTCGCACACCAATCCCCACACCACCACTCTGTCATTACTCTTCTGTTCTTCAAGTTACAGAAAGCCAGCTTGTAAAGGGGACCAAATACAATCATATTGATGCAATTTGTCTAATAAACCATAAGTCACTTTTTCGTAAGACGCCAACTTACAAAAAAGTGTCTTTAGCCACTCTTCATAGGGAGGGGGGTTCTTTTTCCGCCAATGTCTTAGCAGGACCCGTTTGGCCGTAGTAAGAGCCAGAATCATCTTTTTGTATAACTGGAAAAATCTCCATCAGAAAGTTCTGTGGTTATACCAAGTATGGACAGTTTTGGTGACATACCAAATCTCCTTTTTAAAACACTGAAAACTACCTCCATTATATTTTCCCACCAATCCCGAAGTGCCGAACAGCTCCATAAGATATGTAAAATCGAAGCATTGTGACCATCACATCTCCAACATTCGTCCAGGTTCCATTTATACAATTGTTGCGGTGTTCGATGCCACCTTAAGTTAACTATCTTAACCCTACATTTATACGTACTACTGTGAAATTGTCAGTTTGCTAATTCTCCATCTGCTCAGTTTCTTCCCTCCGTTGTGAGGAAGATGGAAAATAGTTTCAAATATGTGGGTTTTTTAACATTATAGGCTTTGTTTTGATTGTAATTTGTGTTATGCATAAATAAAGCACCTCATTGGGAGAATCTTCAGTAATGCTGAGAATTTAAATATTTTATAGTTCTTCACAAAATAATTTAAATCTACAAACTGGGTCTTTGTTCACATTTAGTTGGAAACGGAAAAAACAAGGTATGAAAATCAGCCTGACTGTGTTGACTTCATTCAAATTAGTTGTTTATTAAAGCATTAGAGATACGATCTGTATTTGGCATTAAATGATGCTAGAAAATTGAAATACAGTATTGAATAATTAATTCAAATATTTCACCGTGTTATGGGACGGAGCCTTTAACAGTTATTGCGAAACACATGACAGGGATTTGTGATGTTGCAGAGCTCTGTGTGTGTG